TTTTCGCTTATCTTATCACTTTAGAGATATGAGTTTTCGGACCTTCTCGAGTACTAAAATTCTATTCTAAACAAAGAATGATATCCTACCGAAACATCTGGTGATGAAAACATAGACATGAACAGACAGGTAAGAATATAAACCTCGATTCTTAACTTTTCGTCATATTTAGGAAGACTCAGTCTAAGCGTTTTTTAGTGCAATGTGGACTGAACAAAATCGAAAATCTGTAATACGGAATAAATACTTCAAAGTAGCAATATCAACTCCGGTTAAAAATTTTCGTATGTAAAGGTTACCTCCACAGGCAAATAACAAGGAAAAGAAGAATGTCTCCACACGTAGAACAAGAAAAGCCATCACAATGGTTTCCCCTCAGCAGCTTCCTAAACATTTAAACCATACGGTGTAAATAAGTATTGACAAAAAATGATCGAAACTAAATGAACGAAGCACATGAAAGTATGCAAATTTAGTCAAGGGGTTCGCCAAATGTTTTTGTGTCGCTTAGAAAATGAAACTTTTATCATTTACCAGAGTTTCGTTCTTTGTATTGGCAAAATCTAATTTCGGCGATTAGCCGGAAAGAGCTTCGCACTCTGTTTCGCGAAGGTCGACAGATTTTGTACCAAAAAAAAAAGACTCGGAGAAAGGGATAAGTAGTTTTGAACAATCACTGATTGGCCAAAATTATTTATCCTATTTTTTTTGTAGCTCTTTCCCAGTTTTCACTAGATATCTACTGTACAGTAAAACTGAAGTTTTGGTTCAATAATTGATGATCATATGTTGGCCCGACAGGAGCTAATTACGGTAAATTTGCACGCTTCCGGGTACTTCTGGAAACGAAATTGTGCAGAATTAAGAAAGTTTGACATAATATCGAATGGTTTTTTGATATTCTGTCGTCACTCGCCCGACGCTCCGTCGATAGCTGGTAGACAGCGCTTGGTAGCCGGGCGCAGGAATGTTACTTTTTTAAAGTATGTCGGCTCCCGGGTATCCATCAATGTTGTTGTACAAAGTAAGACGCACGACCGACGTAACGCTCGAAGCATGATGTTTGTTTGTGGGTGATAAGTCAATCGAGCATTCTTCGTTAGCACAGCGAACGATTTACGTTATCATCACCGCTGCGTTGTCGATCATCGCCTGTGGAATTGTTGCTTTATTCCTAAACATAAGCGAAGATTTGCTCGTTTCGTTCAAACTGCTTTCTTTGCTCTGATGGTGGGAAGGTGTGAACTCTTGCAAACGAGGTGCAAATCGCGATGACGCATTTACCCTCTCGAATTGATTTTCTACCCACTGAATTCCTTTAATTCTCACAACCAACAACAGTCCTTCTCAAGACTACCCGTACCCTGATGATCAGACTACACGGTAGAATATTACCCCGGATACAAACCATATACGTGATATAAACTCTGAGACTGAACGGGATCAGGTTGTATAAAAAGAGCAACGCCGCAATCCATGTATTTACGGTGAATCAACAAGATCCTGTCGTGCAGCGATTGTACGATGAATTTAATTGCAAAAATACAGTCAAATATTTGATTTCTCTTCTGACTGTGGAAAGAAATATGGCGGCGTTTGGATTAGCATGATAATGTTTTATCTCAAGCGCAACAGCGCAGAACAGCTTCATTAAAACATAACTAGCCTTTTGAATCTGTTTAAGCAGCTAAATAACATATTCATGGATTTTTTGCAATTAAATTAAGTTAAAACAGGAAGGAATAAGATTTGGCTCCATTTCAAAATAAGCTACTGGTACGTCCGGCGTCAATTCGTGGTTTCTCGCATACAAGAACAGCTTTCCTTTCATGTATACGTGCTGTAACTTTTTTATCCCAGACAACACATTAAATCGGAACAAAACCAACCAATCACTTCTCTTTCTGCTGTTCACTTCAAAAAGGTAACTGGTTGCTATCGCTGTTTCAAATTTGATGAATTCTTCAAAAGTGAGCTTGTTGTTTACATAACGCTAACTTTAACGAATAACTAGTCAAGGACATTTTGAATTACTTTATTGTCACTAGGATTAAAAGGCTTCCGTTTTAGAGCTCTGGTGCTGCGTTTTTTGTTCTTTGACAATAGCACAACTTGATAATCATTTTTTGGTAGAAAATTATTTGCATTTTGTATCGTACAATGCTTACATTTGCTCCTCATTTTCGCTTATCAAGCACTCGGCTAAGTAGAAGGTCTCTGGAATTGTAGTGATTTCTTTTGAAAAAAAATTGAAACTACTTTACTTACGTTCCGAATTTATGTTTCAGAATTTTTAAGGGCATTTGCTACAAGGCTCCTCGCCCACGGGGGCTTATTTTACAATTCATTTCGTGAAGACGATATAAACAATTGCGTTTCTCGAGGAGTACTTTGATTTCTGAAAGTGTGAATGGATCTCCGCTGACTCTATTGTTCAAGGTGATAGTGACAAAGAGAGCTGAAGACATTATAAACAACCTCTTGTTGCGCTGTTAGTATTTTTCAAATATCAGGGTGCAGAAATTTTGGAGGAAGCAGCACTGATCTCAAATAGACATGGATTGAACATAATGTTGTGATGGTGTTTTTCAGATGCTCTCTTCGAAAAAAGAAATGGAATCTATGGATGCAGACTTGGTTGCTTGGCAGAGCTTAACTGACAACAAACTTGCAGAGAAAATGACGGTATCATGACATTGCGAGAAACATTTAATTGTTCTTTTCAAGACAGCACGATGAATCCGAGATCTCGTCTACAGCGTTCCCATTCATGGAGGAAAAAGGATTTTCGCAAAGCTAAAGTTTGCTTCGCTGACAATTTGGAAACGGTACACGAGGTACCGTACAACTACGACATGTACAACAAAACGAACGGTCGCCTCAAACTACCCGACATTGATGTCCACAAATACACGCCACTAATTTGTAGAGATCCTTATGCGAAGCCTTCCAAGAGGAAACACGAAAAATTCGCGGACATGTTTGTAAGCGATACTATGAAACTTCCACTGATAAAGTTGAAAAAAACAGACAACGATTTTGATAAAATTTCTCCAAAGACTAAGGAAGCAACGGAGATATCAAACGAGCCATCATTCCCGAAGGCAAATAGCAAGACTTCAGAAAAATTTCAAGCAGCTAATACACTGCATTTCAGATATAGCGACTTCATATTGAGAAAAATGGATAGAGGTACATCTTCCAAAGATAGAATGTTCTTTGTAAATTAATTATTGGTTATCAAGTTGCCATGCAGGAATAGGGTTTTCCAAAGAAGCATCTGAAATATTAATTGCATGCACTTAAAGCTTAGAAAGATAAAACGATTTTTATTCAGTCTTTTACCCCTTTGACTAATTTAGAACATTTTAGGGAGGCTTAAAGTCGTTAAGGTGAAATATTATTTCCTCAGGAAATCATCCAACTGCATTGTAGATGGTGACAGTTGCAGATCAAAATTTTTAATTAAACAGAAAACGTTTAAAAATGAATAGCAGTTTGATTGCACACAGCTGTTTAATTCGTACAAGTAAAAATCAATTACTTTAGTTCAAAAGTATCGCTTAGTGAGAAGTCCACGCCGGAGGTAAATAGTTAAAAAAAAAAATTCTATAATCGATTATTTTGTCAAACGTTTTATTTCGGTCCATATCCGCCGGACATTGTCATTTGTTCAAGGATACATTTTCGATAAATTATCAACGCAGTTGAAGAGGAATGAACATGGGTCGAATGCTTTAAGAACGGGCATGTTGATGTCATTAGAAAGACTAGGTACCGAGGCCTTAAATTTTATAGTTCGTATATTTCATTAACTTAAATGGATAGGAACTCTTTTGAATAAGAACTTGCGATAAAAGAAACTTCTGCTCAAAATGAAGAGGATCTGTCCCAGATCTTTCTTTTATAAGATTCTTCGTTTCGTTGATCTCTTAAAAATTTGTACGCGTTTTTAGCTAGTGCGTGAGCTGGTGAACACAATATCTGCTTTGCGCCCGCGCCTTTTTTTCTGCTTGGCAACCTGGCCGCTAATTAATTTCGTCACATACTTCAGTTCAGATCGGTGCTGCTCTCTAACCGTAGCAATTCCGACCAAAGCACGAACTATATAAAAACAAAGGAACTGGTAACCTTGAAAAGCGCGCGATCTGATTTGAGTCGAGCTCTTTTTAAAGAGAGTAATTAAAATTACTACAATCTGTTGTACTCGAAACCGTACCAATTTAAAAAAAAAAAAAGGATTTAAAAACATTATAATTAAATAGTTTAATTGAGGGTATCTGGTACCTAATATAAATAAAGACTTAGAATTGTTGGTGAGCTGGAACGTCATGAGTGTAGGCCATGTTGTCATGGCCTACGGAGTTCTGAACATACTATTTTAATTGCGAAAAAAAGTGGATATCCGTTTTTAAGTCATAACAGTTGCTTCAAAGTTGTAACTACGGATCCAAAGTTATAACTGCGGGTCCAAAGAACCTGGAAATAAAATTTCGCTTGCTTTTGAAGTTAAGTTTAAGCAAAAAGAGTTATCAACAAATCGTTGCGTCGCCTCTGGAGGTAGAAGTCCCAGCCGGGTGTTAGAAGCGGAAAAAAATAGAAAGGGATTAATTTAATCGTGTGCTAAAAGCAGAGATTATCTCGCAGTCAATCACAGCAGTGAAAATAGTCAGTGCAAATGCCCAGATTTCTAGAGATGTATGCTAACATAATTCAATAAAAAGCGTAGTGTTCTGATGTGACATTGCCATCTCTAACGTGTTTCTGTGCATCGAATTGTATAAGGAGTCCAAAGAGTGCCAAGTATTTGAGGTTAACCAGAAGCAATATGTTGATATTAATGGAACCGCACACAGACAGCACGTACAATGAACAGGAAATGGCATTGAATAAAAAAAAGCTTTAACGTTTGAATTAAGTTCTTAACGTCAGCTTGATAGGAGAAAATAGAATTGAGACGGCCGCCAAGGGCGTATTTATCTGAGCAGGAATACATGTTAGAATTGTTCAGAGCAATATTGGTGGACTTTTCATCACTCAAGACGGATACTGTATCACATTTTAGTTATTATCGATAACAAAACAAGCTTACAATATACCAAAACGATATTGAATCCGATGGTTGTTTACATGTTAGGGAAGGAAGGCCAAGGGGAATAAACTATTCGGAATCTTTAATTTACGATGTTGGCTTCTCCTTCGCCGTGCGAAACATATCGAGTTGAAATTTAACTGTACGCCCAGTTGTAAGTGAAGTGCTCCAAAAACTTAGACAAACGGAGCGCCAAAGGACGAAGACAAGCAGCTGGAATTTCCTTTGTTATTGGCTAGACATATCTGCTGGCGTGCATCGGATAATGCTTAGGCGGCGTTCTCCACAAAGAAACGAATCGTGCACTGCCGAACTAAATGGTAAAAAATCACGTTCTTAATCCCAGCGGACGTGCGAGGGGGGAACGACGGAAAATGAATCATTTCACTCACCTAAGAGAGCTTTTGTTGGTTTGGATTGGTGAGTAAACTCAAGTTGATTGTTTATGCTTCTGAGATTTCTAGAAACGTCGGTTTGCCGTTAAACTATATGGTTCCGATGATGGCACCATAAACGTTTATGAATCACATAACGGCATTTTAATTATTCATGCGACATTTGCTCTGTTTTACTCAATTGAAAAGTTGTGCTTCCAGTGGCAAAACCAGTCTGTTGTTATTGTAGATTCATGCTCAAATAAGCTAAGGAGTTGAAGCTACAAACAAATCCAGTCATTACCGATTCACGCTGATTGTTCACCAACAAGAAATGAATTGACTACGCAATTGCAAGCAACACACCGCTCAACGGACAAACATTTGGCCAAGTGAAATATCTTATCTTTGACGGAAGGGTTCTGGATGAGCTTTAAAAAATGAACAGAAAAAAATAGCCAGAAAAATGATTTTACCTATGGCGAGGGTTCTTAAATAAATGAAGTGTTTCAAAGTGCTTATTGACGTCATATGATGCACCCCTAGAAAAAGGTAGTTCTTAGGTATATTTAAACTTTTAACTGAAGCCACTTACCCTTGTTCATCATATAAAAGTCATAAATGGCCAAAATATTAGTTTTAGAATGATTTGTGTAGAGCGTTGTAATTCAAGGGGTTCTTCCAAAAATTTAAGCGTGAAATTGCAAGTAATCGTAGTGAATCATAAATCGACTTTTTAATAGGATCCCAAGGCGTGCGTTTCTAAAGGCTATACTTTCTGGCATTGAATATCAGGTTTTTTGTTGTCTTTAATGATATATGGTCTTTTGAAAATAGTTCTCAATTCACACTCCGGGTAGACAAATTGTCGGGCTATTTTGGGTCTAGTGTTGTAGTATTCAAGGCTTCCTGTTCTACATAAGCCTATTTAGTACCAATTTAGTTCACTTTTAAGTCAACACGCAAATTGTGGACATTTAGTCTCCTGTGGGAAACAAATGATCCAATACATTGAACTATATAGCTATTTTTAAGCTTTATCCAAATCCGGAATAATAGTGAAATACACTCGTCTTGAAGGGATCTTTGCCGTGCCGCAACAGAGACCATAACTAGCTCATCACTACTCCAATAACGTTTTCCTGTATCATTACCCTGGATTTTTTTCTTTGCTTTCCTTTTTTTTCCTTGTCTGGTAACAGTGTCCCCTACTTGAGCTTTGATAGATTTGGATTTTCAGACAACCATCAGCCATTTGAAGCGATAAATGCGCTTTTTATTGACCGTTGAACATTTTGTGATCGATATTGTTTCAGGTTACCAAGGAAACGAATATGACTTATTCAATACCCCTAATGTCTATACTTAAGTTTCGTGTTTGTTGTTTTGCTGCTATTTTTTCCTTTTCCTTAATAGCTTGATAGCGGCTCAACGAATTGCAACTTCAAAAAAATCTATTTAGATTGTTCGGTCCACCTTACTTTTTTGTGGCACCTATCCCCCGAGAAGATGTTTCACATGGGTTTTGAGTTAGTCACAACAAGGAAATTATTATCTAGCTTACATGCCGATAGCCGATTTTAACCAGTTTTTATTGCATTTATCACTAGATGCTCTATACTCTTTCAAGGATAACCTATTCTTAACTGCAATCTTATAAAAAACCATGTCAACCAGTTTTAAGTCGCTAACGATGGTTGTTTTAGATAATTGCTTGATATTTGTCAAATAACTTTGGAAAAGAGCTTTCCTTGAAGATGAAATTTCGTGGCAGTTCGAAGCAATTTCGCAAAAATCCAATTCATTAATTTTATATACCAACGCTTTGTGTTGTTTTTTCTGAATACATACAAGCTCTACTGATATTTTTGTCTTGCAAATCGTGTAGGACATTGCTGATGTTCATGTCGAATATTAGTCGTTTGATAAATGCAATAAACATTCACTCACTATTCTTCACCACTCCTTCATTTACATCGTTATGGCTGATCTAAATGAAAAAAAAGATGTGATATCTAAGTTTAATCATTTTTCATAGGCATACTGGCAAGTAATACTCTTTACGGAAATGGAACTGGTAAGTAAGCTATACGGTAGAAATAAGCATGCAATTTTTTACTGCAACTTTCCTTGGTTCTCACAATGACCACCATAATGACCAGCGATATTCAGAACAACACTAACAATTAGCGAGAGGTCTAAGTGAGGTTCTTTGCCCCACTTGTGCTCTGTAATTCTAAAAAGATCCGTTGTTTAAAAGATGACTAATGGCTCTTGGTTACGCAATCTTGGAACGTCACGCAAGGAACCCAATACAAAGCCTTGCGTTATTATTGTTTGTTGGTGTGTTTTGATGAAGGTCAACAAGGAAAGTTTTTCACGCTCGGATTAACTTGTGTGTTAATTGATGCGTTAGTTGATTTCGATCTGAAGTTGCCTTAGCTAACAATGCACGCGCTATCAAAAGCAATTTCTGCGTTTTTACGTTCAAATTGAGGTATAAACATACGTATACCTTGAATGATAGCGAGTCCTTGTTCTTATATCCATCAGTTACCTGTCCCGGTGGACGAAACTTAACAGCTTCTGAGGGGATTTTAATGAGTCCAGGCTACAGTGAAACACACTATCCCAACAGCACCGTTTGCATCTGGGTGATAACTGCCCCACAACACTGGAAAGTGAAGCTCATGATCAATTCCGTTGACCTCGAGTACTGCGCTATGTGCAGTTGTGACTATGTTGAACTCAGAGATGGAGCAAAAGCCAGTGGCCCTCTTATTGGCAGATATTGTGAAGCTAAGGCGAGCACTGTTTATTCCGAAGGACGGCACATGTGGGTCAAATTCAAATCAGACAGAGAGAATGAGGGACGAGGATTCCTCGCGAATTACACTTTCATTAAATTAAGAAAGAGTAAGTTGAGTAACGAGTATTTATAAATTCGATGGACTACAAGTCTGTTGAAAAATTATGGTAGCTTTGTCTTTGGAGATGTGATTTAACATACGTGTTGTCGAGAGAGGAGTTTTTTTTTTTCTGAAATTGGTTCCTTGTGTCAATATTTTTCTCCTGGAAAGGGAGGGCGGATAATTTTTTGGGGGGCACACATGATTTTCAGCGTAAACGGGGATCGGCGCAAACAGAATATATAAGGAAGATTACGGAAAATTGACAGCCGATGAACTGGTAATGAGTAGGGAATCATAAGAATATTTAAGAGCTTTAAAGTTTTCGCGATACCTGTTGGCAATCAACATCCTCCGACTCTTCCTCCCCCCCCCCCTTCCCCCCCTCCCTCACAGCGATAAATAACGTAGGGTCCCTTATGTTTCCTTTTTGTCGAGTCTCCAAGTATCAGTTTTTTTCTTGTTTTCTTCCCATGCATTTAGAGAAACCAGTTATTCTGAAAGCAAATAGAACGTCTCAATTCATCACTAGTTCAAAGAATCCAACCGTGTGTGGTTCCGATAGACAATGTACATGGGTAATTACCGCTCCTGAAGGTTTTCAAGTGCAGCTCACAACGGAATCATTTGTCTTCCTCTCTTGTCTTGGATCTTTTATTGAGATCAAAGACGGTCCCACTTGTTCAAGTCCAATGATTGGAAAATTCTGTGGAAATGAGAAGCCTCCACTTGAGATCTGCTCTTTGGGAAATAGTTTGTGGATATCATTTAAGTACAATTCTACCAGAGATTTGGAAATGAATCGATTTGAGCTGATGTACAGAGCAACACGGGCTAACATTACGCCACAAAGAAAGTTTTACGACGAACAGGCCATCAACTCTGGTAAGTCACAAACATATACTGTATTTGTTTCGTGATGAAACAAGGAATGATTGAAAATTAGATTTTAAGCTCTGAATTTCTATTGCGTGATAATTGATGAAAGCATTAAATTCGAGAGCGAATACACATTTTTTTTCCTTAAAGTGTAAATCTACTGGTCTTTTAAAAAAGGAGAGGAATGTAATTTGTTTCATTTTTTGTATAATCACGCGGTGACAAGCTATATATTACGAAATAGATCGCCAGCGAGTAGCGTAGCCAATCAGATTGCAGCATTTGTTATTGAATGCGAAAAGATTTATTCGAAAAGCTAATTTTAGAATATGATGTAATTAGAGATAACAAAACAAAATGCAATCGTACACATGCCTATAACAATTTTGAGTCATTTTCATCTCACATATACATATGACCCGTAACCCCTCTTAAATTTGTAGTGCTTGTAGATATGGACCTGATTCTTCGATTCTAGAATGTGTTTGACATTCTTAAATGAAGATCTTGAGGCTTTACTGTTCACAGTTACCATCTCGTTTTGAACCTCCTGCGCCTGCTCCTTCTCCTTTTGCTAACTCTTATCCGCTATCCAGCGGAGAAGAGTTAACAAAACGTAATGCGCTGTTCACTGGATAGAGATTTATCCAGTGGATGTCATTATCCACCCTTCCGACAACCGGGGGCCTGGATGATGAGCATAGTTAAATCGTATAGGTCGAGTGAACCGCAGTTTCTGGTGTCTATCTGGGAGGGACGCTAGTCCATCGCAGTAGAAACATGGCGAGGCAAAATCAAATAATTAATCTTTCAGTTTTCATCATTCCCTCACTTGTGGCTTTTGCAGATCACTGGAGAAGTATGGCAGTTGGAATCGCCTGTACGAGTTTCTTCCTCTTTGTGATATTAGTAGCGTGCTTCCTAAAGATAGCAAGCAATCGCCGCTTTGCTGGGTTAGAGCAAACAACGTCACAAACTGAGCTGAATCCAACAGATTCCATTGTAGAATCTACTTTCTCTAACGACATCAATGAGTCTCTTCTTGAATAAATCACGACAACATTTAGAACCATATCATACCAAAGAAATACTACATAGAGCTAGAAAGTATTAACATAACATAAATACTCCATCAACTCAGGAAAGATGTGTGACAAATTGGATAAAAAATCAAGAGCTTCTTAAATGGGAGATTATTCCCTTCATTCTCATGACCTTAATGTGTGATTCAGGCGTGATATTGTAAGGAGAAATTAGATGCTAGTCACTCTTAACGGCCAAAGAGTTAAAGAAAAAGTATGCCCCAGAAGCCATAAAGATTTAGTCCTTCATTAAAAGGACTATTTTTACAAGTTATCCTCAGATCTAGATCATGTTTACATTTTAAGTCAGGTTAGCAATGTTATTACTGTAATTTATAAGTGTATGTGCCATTATTAGTGAGTGAATTGGCGATTGCTAATAAAAGATTTTTAATAAGTAGCGTTACAGCTAAAGCAGAGAGAGAATAGCAAGCAGAATTCCTTTTGTATACGTCAAATTATGGAGTAAAAAGGTGAGGTTTGCACTCTTGACCCACCCGTTCGAAGCTTATCCTGGTCTCCATTTAGCATGAGGCAACCATGAGTATTACTTCCCCCTGGATGGGTCGCCAGTCCATCGCAAGGTCCCCCCCCCCCAGTATTTCATCAGGCTTCCCTGAAAATTCGCCGGTACCCATTTTTATTCCTGGGTAGAGAGAGGCATGGTGAGAGTGTTGTCTTGCTCAAGAACACAACACATTGACCTGGCCAAGTCTCGTACCCAGATCTCTCGACTTGTAGTTTACTGAATTGACCGTTAGTCTACTGCTCCTCCCACGTAACTTATACACTATAGGACTATTCCAAATCACGTACTGTAAAATTATTATCATTAGCATCATTTGGTAATTTCTGTATTGTAAAGAAAGTGAAGGCCATTATTATATTTTTTCTTGATGTCGTTTGTTGTAAGTAACGTCCCGTAATCAGGTGATCGTAGGCATTGTGCTGTGAATAGTTTATCAGTAGTGTATAGTACGGTTCCTCATTTTTAATAGAATCAATAAAGGGGTAATTTAAAAAATATATTTCTTTTGCGTCTGATGTTTAAACTTGGGGAAGGTCAAAATTTGTGTGGAAAAGAATTGTTTCAACAAATCTCTATTCTAGTACTGATCTAAAACAAAAGACTAAAAAAATCTAATCTCCCTCTATTTCGTGTCATTTCCCCAAAGCTTCTTGAATACGGCAGGACGCCGTTAGACATTTGCATTTTTATCTTTGCTGAAGAAGGCAAGAGTAGTTGCCCAAACGTCCAGAACAATATCTTTTTAGCCAGTGTCAACTTTTTTTATTCTTTTTACCAAAAATTTTTAATATGTCTGGCTACACACCGAATAAATTTTTTTCCCCTTTCATTTGCAAGAGAGTCTTAATGGGGTTAACAGATAGCTGTAAAACGGTTAAAAAAGTTAGCTGTTAAGCGTAATCATTGGCAAATTTTAACCGATAGTCGTAAAAAAGGTAAAAAATATTTGTGGTGACATTAATGAAATGATATTAACCGTTGGCCCTAAAATGGCACAAATTTGAACCGAAAGCGGTAAAAGCCATCACCCCATTAAGACCCTCATGTAAAGGGTAATATTCGTACTTTTAAGATATTTCATTTTACCATATACCACATGGGTGAATAGTGCGTGCTGATCCGCTGGTTTGGGAGTGATTAGCATGTACTATTCACCTCCGAACAGCCGATGAGACAAATTAAATTGTGCGTTAACAATTTAATTTCCGACTAATTTCTTTTAGTATATTGACAGAAACATGTGAGACTATTAGAGAGCTGATAGACTCACGAACTTTTTTTTCGTTCCTCCTGTTTTTTTGTTATTTTTTTTCTTTGTTTTTAGTCCTGTCTTAAATCATGTATCTATTTGTTTATTTTCTCTTACGTACACGAGTCGACAAAAGCACGCTGAGAATATATTTATAATTTATTACTTTTGTAATGCCTCATTATGGCCAAGGAAAAACTGAAGCGTATATATGAAGAGGAGAGGGAGGCAAGGAGAGCTGAATTGATTCACAAATGTACACAGGTGGTCGAGCAAGATACGGAAATTTATACTTATTCTTGATGTAAAACTTGTTCGGCTTTATTTCCGAGTTGCTGGTCAGTCATTTCATCAAGCGATCAATGAACAAAAACATACCCACTGATCAATAATTAATAATACCATTTGGCCCCTCTGCACAGAATACCTCATTATCAAACTTATCTTGGCTGGGAGCATTTTTCAGGCGCCAAAAGCCATTATCAGTTGTTCTTTGCGCGAGGAACGGCAATCCGGGATTTACTTCGAATCTTAGGAAGAGATATGAAGACAATGTATCTTTGGTACCAGCTTTCAGTCGTTCTATCAGGTAAGTATGTGATTTAAAATATTACTTAAAGGTAAACAGCTCGAGACAGCGACGAAAAATCGGTAATTTTTGAATGAACGTTCGCCTTTCACCTATGCAAAGTCCCATTACGTTTTTGCCATCCTTGGATAGAAAAAGCATAAAAATTTTGCAAGAGAGGAGAATTCCAACCGATTGAATTTTGCAAGAAAGAAAGATTCTTACGACGAGTAACTGAAACTTAATTTCCGATGCTGAAAAATTTACGTATGCGAAAAATCTCTTTTCTTCGCAGTCATCACAACAATATGTTATTAAGGAAACAGTGATAGACCAAAGGCAACAATTCTGTATAAATAATTAAAAAATTGAACTCTCACAGTTTCGATTGAAAATTTTTTAGCTTTGCTTTTGTTATATTTGCTAAAATTAACGGCGATTCTGCGCTAAAAAGACTGAATAAATTCCACACTTCTTTCAAAATTCAAATTTCCAAAAGACGTTATCAATAACAAAAGCAACAGAGATCACAGCAAATTGTGGCGCAGGAACTGTAATAGCTTGGGGGACCAAATAATGAGTTTTCTCGTCTCGTATTAAATTAAAAAATGCCACGAAACTTTTATCCAGTCTGAAAGAAACCAATTTGGTTCTTTTTCCTCGATTTTCCCTCTTCCTGAACTCTGTAATGATAAATAAATTTGTCTATCAAGATTTGGGGGAGAAAAAGAACCATCTTCCCGTCGCATAAATTAGAAAATAATTCGGTGGATGACTCTTTCGGTAAACTCTTGAGGTTTTTTGTATTCAAATGACCATCAGTTTTAACTCGACCTATTGTTTTGACTGGTAACCTCAATAAATTGATTTTAAAAGCAGAGGCCTAGTTTATAATTAAAACTGAAATTTTTTCAACCGCGAAATAAAAACTGAGGTTGCTGTTGTGGGGAGGAATTCCGCGAGCTTTTTATTGTTTTCCTTATCAATTTTTTCTTTAGAAAAAGTAATGTGGGTGGCCTTTCTAATTTAGTGAAACAAATGTGTAATAAGAGAAAACACAAAGCCACGACAAAGAAACATGCAATAAAATTATTGAACGCTTTTATTTATCTTTCTTTTGCATAGCACTGTCGTGTGTGAGGCTAGTTCTTGCTAATGGTAAGTATTGGAAGGTTTTGTTTTGAAACATATGCACAGAGATCTTGTTCAGTTCAATACGGCAAAATTCTCCTTAGGATACAAATTGAACGAATGAACCCAATCTTAAAAGATGTGGGCTAATTTAGATCTCTATTTGTATTGGAGGCACAAATTGCAATATTTAAGGGCTTTGGTGGTCTTATTGTAAAATTGACAAAATTTGAATAAAGCCGGGCACCTGTTTCCAAGGGACGGCTCTTCATTTTCACTCTTTAAACATGCTTAGAAAAATAACTTTTTCTATAATTTATGGACTACTAGTTGGAAGGACAGGCGGACTGTTGTAACAGACTAATGGACCCACTCGGAAGGCTCTCTTTCCAGGAGCCATTTTTTAAAAAAAATTAATTTCATGCTCGCTTTACTTTCATTGAGACGGAAGGGGGCTCGGCCAATTTTTTTCCCTTTTTTTCATTTTCGATGGGTGGTTGATACTTCTTTCGTGAATATTTACCACAAGGGATGGGGCTGAGAGGTGTGTGGGGGGGGGGGGAGGGGCGGAAGAAAAATAGGGGATTGAATGGTTTTCAAGGGGAACAGACCGGGGAACAGACCGGGGGAACAGACTGGGGATCGGCCTTCGCTATAAAGGGGGAGAGACTGTTGCAAATTGACTGCCAATAAAGGGGGATCATTGGAATACTACAGAGTCTTAGGGATGGATCAGGTAAAAACCTCCCCCTCCTCCAGGCGATTAATTTTGATATCAGTGAAAAGAGGGAATTACGAGGGAGCTGACTGACGCATATTAGATTCCCATTAATAATTATCGTGCAGTATAGAATATAGATCTCGTTATTCGTGTTTTAAAAAAAACAGATGCCTCTATCACAGGAGTAACTTTCAGAGCGAGGACGAGTTTCATAGCGTACCATTTCAACAAAACCTCATCTTTCCTGGGGATTACCTTCAGACTTGAATTTTCATCAACAAGTTGCAAGGGTGATTTGATACTGGTGACAAGCATGGACACTGATAACTTTTTCAAAATTGTCTTGGACAATGAAGTTAAGACCACCTTCCATTACAAGCTTGGAGATGGAGATTTTAGCGTATCGGCGTTAGTTCCTGCAAAAAAATCCTTCTGTGATGGTCAAAGACATATCGTACGATTTGAACGATACAAAAAAACAATCAAGTATAGTGTGGATGATGGTCAAGAAGTACAAACGAACGGGACAGGAATCACAATTGGCACTTTTAGTAAGCCAGATAAGATTGTCCTTGGAGGAATTTCCAGCAACAAATTCGATGGCTGTGTTTACAGCGCATCTGTGCTGTTCCACTGGAAAAAATACCCAAGTAGAAACGTCAAAGTAAATATCATAGAGCGCTATCTCAAAAAAGATCCCAGGATTCAGTCAGGTGCTGTGTTTGTCGGAGCTTGTCCTGATTCAACAAAAGTAATTTATCACAAAAGCCAAGGTAAGCCAGTTATTTAGTCCACACAATCCGTGCAGTAAACAGTAGTGGTCTTCCTAGTCGCACGATAAAAACTCCATTTTAGGGCAGAGGGTGTCTTTTTGAAGCCTTGAATAGGACGTGAATGTTGTTGGTGTGCCGTGTAGTATAAGGGATGCACGTGCAGTACATGTGAGGTACGTATGCGGTACACGTGCGGTCCATGTGTGGTACATGTGCAGTGCTTACAATTTCGTTTTTTAAAATACAAATTTTAAATTTCCTTTCTGCACGAATAAGCTACACGTGGCTCCACAGAGTCAATCAACGATAATTCATACAGAACAAAAGGGAAGGATTTCGAAAACACTCCAAATCGAGATCAATTCGGTCAGGTATAAAGTAACTTTTCAATCGACGCGCGAAAATTTTGGAAATTAAAACCGGAAATTTTTGTCGAACAGAACACGCCATATAGGGCGTTAATTCAAACATTTGCAGGTTTCTCCACTTCCAACCTATTCACGATCACGTGAGCCAATACTTTGCGAAATTTCTACGTGTTTAGTACAGAGCTACTATTGCAGAACTTACCATGCAATTATAACTTTCAGAATGTACAAGTTCAAACACAGATATCTCCATGAGCGCTGAGGGGGGTGTGATCGCAAGTCCTCGCCTCGATAATTCAAGTCACATCAGTCGATGTTCTTGGCGCATCTCGGCGCCTTTCAATCATCGTTTAAAATTCACACTGCTGTTCTACAATGCTAGTAGTTTTGAATCCTGTTCAAACAGTAAAATCGTTGTCTTTGACGGCTTATCTAATTCCTCGAATGTTCTGGAAAGATTCTCTTGTCCCAAGTCAAGCAGAGCATTGTTCACAAGTGGTCGGCATATGATGGTCGAAGCAACTCTTCCCATGCAGAAAAATGATATTGATTTCATTGCCGTTTATGATGTTGTGGGAATCGACGCAGGTACGTGAAAAGCTAATTTCATGAAACATCGACAGATGAACTTTAGAGAGGAATCAAAAGATCAGTTTTCATATGATATTTTCGTAATGATAACATATTCTATCATATATTTAATGTATATTAGTGCCCTCGTTCGCAAAAGCGCCCCCTCTCTGACAAGCACACACTCGAATTTGTTTTTGTTAATTAGCACCGCTTTGGGCAAGCACCCTAACTCCAGTAAGCGCCCCTATTTCAATAAGTACCCCTATTCTGCTTCAGTGATAGCACTGCTAGCTAGAGTGTATTCCTTACCATCATCATGCCAATATTCACTGTCTATCAATTTTGTCATTTTTACAGTTTCTGGTTTTTTTTTTCTTTTTGAGTAAATTACACATCAAAGCTTTGTTTCGTAAATTCTGCTGTTTTTCAACTAATTAAGAAATATAAGCTTCTTGTTTCGGCAAGCGACCTCCCTAGTGATACCAAAAGTCAAATAAGCACCCGGGCGCCATATCATTGTTGTAAGTGTACAAACGGCTTTGTTGAGCGAAATTTGCTAATGTAAAATGTTTAAAAAGGAAGGCAGCTTTGAACTATCTTTGCGGGACTAAATGCTACATAATTACCAGTCATAAAATAGTTTAAGCTTTTGAAAGGAAGAGAATATGGTTGTCATACTCAGTGTCTGAAACAGCCAAAGTACCAGTTATCGGCTACTTCTCTCTTTCTTGACCTCGGTTATGATAATTTAACACCAACTAGAATAGCTTACATATAGCAACAAAAACTTTCTAAATTAAGAATGATGGTAAATTTGTACATAAATTATTGAAATAAAAATAGATGTTTTGCGTCTGGAGCGTAGGAGAATAAAAAATAAATTTTGAATGCTGATCGGGAATCAGACCCCTATGGAGTTCCCTGTGGCTCGGTGTTTGAGCATCAGAGCACGGAATCCGAAAGTCGGAGGCTCGGGGCCTGGGTTATATTCCTCTTGTAGACTCAATTAATTTCCTTTGTTCCTCCTCATGACCAGACACAAAAACTTAAACTAAACTTTTCCTTAAAGAAAATTTTTTTCATTCATGTTTATCAAAACGCAAAATGAACACAGTCCTTAGGTAGGTGGAGGATGATATAGAAAAAATCTGAACTCAGTTCTTTATTCATAACCGATGTGTGGACCCTTCTTCCCAGGACCTTGTCCAACAAACAAGAAACTGAGTGGCAAGTCTGGTACGATACAAAGTCCAAATTTTCCGAATAATTATGAAGCTGAGCATGACTGCTCCTGGATAATATCAGTGCCGCGTGGTAATCACGTGCTGTTGTCGTTTAACCGAACTGACTTCCACATCCATTCGTGCAATAAAATTTGCGATTGCGACTTCCTTGAGGTCCGTGCCGGAACGACTGCCGGAGGAATGCTTCTTGGGAAGTTCTGTGGTAGTGACCCTCCGTCTCCCATCTATGTTAACGGAAATGATATGTGGCTGCGTTTTGTGAGTAACAAGCTCTCAAATAACAAGGGATTTCGTGCAAAGTTTGAAGCCATCAGACCACTGAAAGGTATGTTATCTTTGGAAATGCAAATGATAACTCTGTGATTGTGGCTTTGAGGACTTTTACAGTTCCAATTAGCGGTCCCATTTCAGGGGGAAAAACACTGCAGGTTCAATAGGAAAGCTTCTTGTGATCCAAGTTAAATTCCCACTCCTCAGCCTCCTTCCGAAAGATGGACGAGGCCTAACTCAGAAGCGAAAAGACTCACTCTCGCATGAAAGTGAATAATTCCTTCTTAGAATGAGTCCTACATACAAATTAAATTTAGCTTGTTAGCAAGTCCTCTCCACGAGTTCGAGTAGGGCACTATACACATTCATAACTTCTGCTGAGACGCTTCTGTTTCACCTTGTGGTTAAGTTGACTTGAATAACACAAAGCGAATGTCTTATAGGACTTTGGTTTTGCTTTCTTTGGTCGATTTTTATTGAAGATTTTGGTATATGCATCTGTAGGTGCAAAAAAAAAGAGAAAGTAAGGAAAAGTAAAGCAAATCAAGGAAAATACCTAGATTATTTTCGACACTCAATTTGAATTTTTTTTTATAATTATTTGCTATTCTTACTTACATCACCTTATTTCTCTCACTAGACAAATGTCCATGGAACGAGACTTTTACGGCTCGTGAAGGCTTGATTCTGAGCCCGCGGTTTGCTCTAGATTATCCTGGCAATATGGAATGCATCTGGAGAATCCATGTCCCCGAAAAATCCAGAGTGGAATTTAATTTTTCAACACCGATCTACTTTGACCCGAATTGTACCGACGTTATAGAAATTAGAGACGGACTTCATGAAAACAGTCCACTGCTCAAACGGTATTGTGCCTCCTCAGCCACTCCTAACGGGATCGTTTCGACTGGAAGAGAAATGTTTGTGCGCTTCAAGTCAGACGGCTACATACGGGATCATGAAGTTTCTATGGCAGGGTTTAACGCCAGCTACTATGCCGTGGATATCAAGTCAGGTATGCTTAGGGACCTGGCATTATTTGTCACGAGGAGGGAGGGGGGGGGAGGAGGGAAGGGGGTCGGAGTCGTTACAAACAGAGTATAGAATGGGAACTCTAAAATTTCTGATTTGAACTTGTAGGCTAATTTTTTCAATCACATTACTAACATTTTTTTTGTCTATCCTTAGGCGGAGACTCCCTCAAGACATGTTTTTATTTGAGTTTTTTTTATTTTCTAATTTTCTCTTTGGTTTGCTTGTAATTTTGATTACTGAGAGCAAAAGCGTGAACTTTGTACTTTGTGCGTTTAATTAGATGAATGTAAAAAAAAAAAAAAATCACAAGTTTTTCACGCTAACAAAACAGGGAGGGGTCAATCAAGGATTCTTTTGGGGGGCCTCCATAGTTTTCTGGGGAAACAGGGGGAAAAAGTCATCGCTACCTAGTATAAAAAAAGGACAATAGAAAATTGACTGCCAATGAGGGGATCATTAGAATGTATGACGTCAGCTGCAAACCGAGAATATAAAGGGAGCACAACCAAAATCCTTAACCCACCCCTCCCCTCACTTTCTTGTCACAGGGCGATAAGTAGGGACCTTAAGCAGTCAGGACGCCAACGCTAATGAAGACGTCGATGAAACAATGAGTTTGTATTTAAAGCTAGGATTTCGTGAATGGCTGAGTGTGTTTAAGGTCTCTTACGGCGCTCAGCTTTACCTAATTAAGCAGCGTTGAGTTGCAACTGGTACTGGAGACTCAAATAGTTTGCCGTCGTGGTTTTCATGCTCAGACCGCGCAAATCCTGGTGATTTCACTAGTGTTGATTTACAGAGGACGGCTAAAAATGTGCAAACTTTTAAAACGCACGTGCTTAGCTATTGTGCCGCCCTTTGGACCTTTAACTTTGCCACGTCCTCGTTGCAGTCTTTGCCGTGGTTTGCTTAAGGTCCTTAATAATGGCCTGTCGCTCACTGCGCTGGATGCCTATGGGAGAGTAATTTCGTTTTTAAAGCTTGTCAGTAGTGTTACCATGGTCTAGTGTTGATTGCTCACCTTAAAGGTCACCAAACTGATAACACATCGGATCAATATCAATATCTGGGCAACTGCCCACCTACCCCTCCCCTAACCCAACATTAACCCTAACTTGTTATCAATTGACTGTTGTTGGGTTAGGGGAGGGGTAGGTGGACAGTTGCCCAGATACTGATATTGATCCAACATATCTTTGATGGCCTTTGCACCGAGGAAACAAACGAAAAACGTTGAAGCTATGATCTCTTTCACTGTTAATGTTTGTGCCACCTTAATAAATTAGAAAATCTATTTCTTCTAAGTTTAAATTTAACAAAAAAATCATTTCCCAGTTCAGCTGTAGGCAATCGAGGCAGAGAAAAATTTCAGATTAAAAATTTTCAACACCTAGTGGTTATATATCAAAATGTTTATTGTCTGAGTCTGGTTGGGCAAGACGGGAAAATATTTGGTTCTCGGCCATGACGTACGGACCTCGCTGTGCTCGGTTTATACATCATGACCTAGAGCCAAATATTTCCCGTTCGGCCCTCCCACTGATTCATTAGGTACATATTATTAAACTAAAAATTGAGATTATTTCACTGTGTAGAATATATATTGCAGTATATTCGGATGGTAATAATAATAATGGGTGTTCTAGGCGAATTTCCCAGTTAAAAGTTAAAAATACAGAAACATTTACGAATTTTTGTGGTTCCCTTTACAATCAAACCCTTTGCCCGTTTTAAGCCCGTCGGCAAAACGGTTCAAACCATGCCCTTCAGGAGTGGAGTGGCAAACGCATACATTGCTCATCATGCAGGTAGTACCCCCTCTCCCTGGGGCTGTCTATCACCTTTAAAATTAAATTCTGTCCATATAATCTCTTATTTCATCTTGATCACGTTTACATGACAGGTGGGGTAACCCCCCTGGGCGGGTTGGCCGGTCTGCTGAGTAGGGTAACCATGTCAGGCGGGGTGACAATTTACCATGTAAACGTCTCAAGGTGGGGTAACCCGCCTAGCCGGGGTCACGTTCGTATCACAAAAAGACCAAATAAGCCAAACAAAAGCAAAACACGAGTGTGTTAAAACTTTTTACATTTCCTAGCCGTACCGTGCAGAGCTAAAACGTTATCACACTCTAGGTCAGAGCTTCGAACTCTCTTATCTTTGCTCTTTACCTCTGAATCAAGGATAGAATGTAAGGAATGTGAGTGATATAAACTCTTCTAGTTATTCCACGACTGTAACTTTTGGGCTACATCCCGACAGAGGAATTTATGTAAATGAATCAATTGATCGTTTGTTTTACGAAAAAGGCTTGAATTTGTGCGTTTATCATATGTACCATCGGTGGTTAAGGATTATAGTCCAAAAGTACAGTTCGTGCGTTCACTGACCTCTTGCTCTGTCGATGCTGCCTTATCAGTTGTGATGCAGTAAAATCAACAAGAAGGCAAACTACCGCAATGAAATTTCTCTCGATATTTTGGCTGATGGTGACAGCTAGTTCTCTTGCTTCTTCTGTTGGTAAGTATCTTGGTAGTAATTCCTAATGTCATGTACTGTACTTCGATCGAAAAGTTTTCACGCGAATTTTCATAACAGGGTATCGGCAGTTATGGGCCGTCTGACTGTCTAAAGGTGATGTATGGACAGTTCGGCTTTCACATAATTTCTAATTCTTTTTCTTTTCGTAATCCAAGTATTGTCTTTGTCACTTTATCACTTTGCTTCGAAGGAATAATAACAGGTATGAATCCTGTTTCGAAGATTATTTCAAATTTTGTTGAGTAGCTAGCGAGCGTGATGTAATGCATACGATGTCGCCATTTCGTGAGTTCATGAAAAGCATTAAAGTAAATATGAATGTCAAAAGTTTAAATGTGTCACTAATTTCATGGGAAAGTCCTTTCAGGACAGTGAAAAACCTTTTCAGTGAGGCTAGCCTTTTATAGTAGGATGACAGTTTATTAAAGTTTGTCTAAAATTGCACTGAACCTCTAACCGCATTAATTATTTTGAAGGATCGCTTCTTACTCAACACTGGCGAATTTTGTTCATTGAATTTGCTTGCATTTGATCGAAATTCAACTTCGTATGGTATCTCCTTCGGTCACTGAGTATAACGCAGTAAAATTGTCCTTTTCTGGATGTCTGTCGTTGGAAATAACCCATTTTGGTTTTTTTTCAACAAGGGAAAAAGGAGTCCCGAGTGTTATTTGCTAAGTTAATGTTGACATATCTTGTCACCGCTAATTAAAATCTACAGTCCATCGCGTAAAAATAACTTTGGCCATCAGGCATGGTTTGGGGTAATAATAATATTTATAATAATAAGTAAAAGCACGCGAAGTTGAATTTACATTTTAATAACAACGATATGAAAAATAAACATGTGTCTCGTCTTGTCACGAATGTGGAACAATTTAAGTCCTCATGAGGAATCGAACCTCAGACGTTCGGTGGCCTTTCAAGAGGGGAATGGGATATAACAAATGCAGATTTGACATTTTACGATGAGTATATACTATTTAATAAATAGAATTAAAATGAAAAAAAATTTTTAAAACGTAGATAAAAAAAAATGTCATTCGATTTCCCACCCCTCAACTCCGCTCCGAGTCTTGTAAAAATACATAAAACAGATTGTTCAGATTCCTTTTTTTCGGTAGGGGAAGACATAAGATGCTACTACTGCGAAAGTCGAGTCTCTTTTAAGGAGTGCGATGAGAGCATGAAACACGTTCAGTGTGATGGAAAGTTTGGGTTTGATAGATGCACTAAGACATACATCAAGGCTTCCAAATATACACAAGAAACTTACCTGCGGGGTTGTCTTAGTGCAAGTGCATGCGAGGCTCATTCATGCAAGGCTCGTGGCGATGATACCTGTGAAGTGTCTTGCTGTGCGGAAGATTATTGCAACAAATCTACCACTCGGATGGTCAGTGGTACTATGGTATTCATACTTTCAGCCCTTGCTGTTCTAATAGGGCAAATGTTTTACTGAAGAAAACATGTGACTTTTATACAATTGTGTCCTTTGTTGAGGGTTTATATTTGTTTCTTAGGATAACTCTACGTATATGTTGCACAGCTGTGCGAATCTGTGCGGTTACATGAACACAGCGGTCAAACGTCGGGCATGCGCAAGGGGATCAATTGTGACCGGCTGCACGCCAATTTCCCGCGCAAAATTTCAAAGGAAAACATAAGAAATACCGTAGTTATTCGGTTATAAGGCGCACTCGGCTATAAGAGGCACCCCCAATTCGGCAACTTCCTTATTGCATGTTTTCAAACTGAAAACATCGCTAAAATACTTGGTTATAAGGCGCACCGTTGTTTGGGGAGTAAAGATCAGTCAAGTTTATTGTAAATTCTTTCAAAAAAAAAAAGCGAAAAAGTCGCGTATTGATTTTAGTTTACCGTTAATTAACAAAAGCAGAATTGTCGCACACGCAACCATGCGCACAAACAAAAGCCTTGATTAAACAAGAATTGACGTACCGCCGAGAATGCAGGTCTCAGTGCACAAAAAAGGCTGAATGGATGAAGAAGGTATTTATCTCTTCGCTTGTTTATTTTCGTTTTGTTTTGTGACGTATCAAATTACTGAGCACGTGCTCTCGAGCACGTATCATATCTATGCAAATTTGACTTCGCTCGTCTTTTCAGAACCACCATATTTATAAAAGTCAATGACCAACACTGTGTATCCTTTTATTTGCTTGAAATCGTACCAGTAGCTGTGATAAAAAAAAAATTGTTTCGGGAAAATATTCGCCTATAAGACGCACCCAAACTTTGCCGGTAATTTTTAGTAGAAATTAGGAATTTCATGAAAAAAACGTTGCGCCTTATAACTGAATAACTACGGTAACCGTTGTCTCGCAAAATAAGCGAAGGAATATATTGAAACGTTCACAGAAATAAGTAAAAGGAAATTAAAGTGGGAAAAAAAGGAAAGCTCAAGTACAAACATCCTGATTTACCATTTTGTTTTGAGCTTTACCAAAACAGTAACACGCTTTTAAAACACTTTGACTCACTCTTTTGTATTTATATTTTTGTAATTCGTGTGAGACGACTTGGTTCTAACAGCCTGAAAGTAAGGCACTTAGTCATTACAGCTTTCGCACATGCGCAAACGTTTGACAACTGTGTTGGTGGTTATGTGCCGCTCAGAGCGCTTTTATTTATTCCTTGTAGTCCCAGGAGGGATAGAACCGGCTCTTTTGCTAGTTTTTGATCCTCAAGTGTTTTTAGTCAGTGCATCACAGATCTCTGTCGTTAGAAAAAACATGTTTCCGCAATGGAGGACTCTGCTGGATTCTGCTCAATCATTGACGTTGTTCGCTCGAATTCTACAAAGCGACTGGCATTGCATGCTACCTTCAGAAAAAACCACACGAGAACAACAAAAAGAAAAAAACTTGTGCAGCCGATTCCAACGGCCATACTTTTCCAATGATCTGCAAAATTAAAATAGAGTTCTCAGAAGAAAAATAATCTATCCTAGTCATTAAATTGCACCTTACCCCGTCTTCCCTCGCACAGCTCTTTTTTGTTTTTTACTTGCCTTACTATTAGCCTTATATGAATGTGGAACAAAATAATTTCTTGTATTTATCTGTTTTTCAAGAGTAAATTTACTTAATTAACCAAACTCATCAGCAGCATTGTGGACACACAAGCACATACATGCGTGCTTACCCCCGGAAATCTAAGAAAGACGCGTTAAGATATTAATTTTGCGAAAAGCGAAAAAAATCAGATTGAATGGTTCGAAAGCTCCTCACATTGACTTTGTGGTGTCCGACTTTTCCCGTCTGAAGGGAAGGCACCGTTATTGACCTCGTCTTGTTCACTCGTCCAAACTGACACCAGTTTCTTATTTTGAAGGTATTAAGGTAAACAAAATATCTCAAAAACATTTTGTCATGATTTCATTTATGATAATGTTTCCAAGAGAGGGTTGGAGATATAGTTTCCGCACCCCTCCCCCTCCCCAAAATTTTATAGAGGCGCTCCACAGAAAATTTCCACAATACCCCAAAGGGAATTGTCATTATTTATTACCTAGGGAGGGGGTGAAGGGCTGGAGCTTTCAGGTTACGTCAGGAGAAAATTGACCCGATCCCCCCTCATGGCCCTGTGATAATCTTATGACCCCCTCTACCCCCAAACCTTTGTTGGTAGTTAATTGGCATTCAATTTTCTATATCCCCCAGTTATACTCTGTTTACAGCAACTGATCCTCCCTCTGTTCCCTTAAAAAACATGTGATCCTCAGCTCAAAATCCTTCATCCCACCCTCCCCCCCCCCCCCCCCCCCCGTGATAAATATTCACTGTCTCTAAGTAGGTGCGCTTGAACTCAGGTCAAGCACCGCGTAATAAAGTTTTCTTATATTTTAATGTCGATGATTGAAAAGTGGATTAATCCTTACCAGAATTCAAAGGCTCAGTGAAGAATCCTATCTGTGGTTTATTGGTGCATTGTACTTCTCAGTACAAGAGCTGGAAGCCATTCATTTGTAAGTCTCTCGTAGAGTTGTATTCAAAAGTTAAAGATTATTTCCTTTGAAGTAGATTTCTGGTGGAGGCTTCTCATCTCCACAAAACCTTCCAATTGATGGACTAGAAGAGCTAGGGCCGTCTCTGATCTCCACAAATGGTCCCAAACAATTCAGGAAGGCAAATGATTTTAGTGAGATTTGAACTTTACATCTTTCACGAGCAGAAATTATCCATATGCATTTTTTCTCAGAGCCACAAACAGCTGGACTTTTTGAACTAGCTATGAGTTGGGATGATCCATTTGCCTGCAGAATGAAAGGTGCCTCTGTGGAAAACAAAATCAGAAGAGGAGATATGAGTTAAAGAGATCATAAACATACGTGTAAACAGTAAGTACAATTTGCTTGTGTCTTACTCAGAAGAATATGTTTCCGCAGATAACAAGTGGATTTTTCTGTGTGTCTGTTCAGTTAGAGATCACAAATACACCAAGAAGTCCGGAGAATCGAACAGCGCACATCAACTGTTCGCGAACGTGTCACCGATATTTTTACCGAAAAAGAAAAGACGTTTTCAAGTTGCGAGGGCCCGCGTAATGGGGATTTTGCTACAGTTTTGCTTAGTATTGCACGGGGCTGAACGTGGCTGTTGAAGGGCTTGAAACCGTTGACAAAATTATAACTAGTAAATAATGTTCTTCGTCTCGTCTTGAGCATGGGGCAAAGTAAAAAATTCTTAGTCTTCATCGGATTCTGCGCTCTGATGCTTTATAACTGAGCCACAGAGGCTCTGTGGTAAGCTAAGTTTTGTGCGCAGCTGCGGTCTGCGATTTTGAAAGGGTCATAAACGTAACTTTTATTAAGAAAGGAACGCGAAATCCGGAGATCGTAAGTTCGATTCCTCACGGGGACTCACTGACAATTTTCTTTTCACAGTCCCACTCTTGTGACAAGACAAAAAAATCATTAAATTAAACCTTTAACCGTAAAAGCCACTACCTCATCAAGACCCTCTTGTAAGGGGTAATATTTTTACTTTTAAGATATTCCATTTGAACATATACCTACACGGGTCAATAGTGCGCGCTTATTGGCTGGTTTTGAAGTGATTAGCATATACCGAACAGCCGATGAGACAAATTAAATCGCGTTTTAACAATTTAACTTCCAACTATTTAACAAATAGAGAAGCCTTGACTGTGCTCTGTTCTGTTGTAAAGCTCACAGGAAGCGGCTAGAGCACGAAGGAGGTGTAGGGGGACTTACTTGAGTGTTCTAGCCGCTTCCTAAGTGCTTTACAACAGAACAGAGCACAGTCAAGGCTTCTCTATTTGTTTTATAATAAAGAATCCGTTAAATTCCCCCAAGAATTACTATTAATTTTCAAAACAAATTTTATTTCCAAAGCGAACAACAGTGTCGTCAACATGCTCTGTACTCTCATAAAACACGCCACAATAAGCCAGTCAGAATCCCTGTTAGAATGGTTCAAATAATCTGATTGGCTGTACAAGACTAAAGCTGTCAAAAATGTCAAACCATCAAAATTTAAAAATCATCAAAGATCATATTCTGCAATAGTTTACAAACTAAAATAGTTGGGTATGTCGAATTTAACACTCTTGCAGTTTCTAATACAGAATCTGAAAGTGAAATGTTCAGTGAAATTCGGCCCAATCGTGGCTCACAAAAATACGCAAGTTATTTCACGTGACAAGTAGAAACAAACTGTTCAAGGCGAGTGTATTATGAATGAACAACAGCGAAATTCACAAGGACATGAAGATCACTAGTAGCTCAGTCGTCGCCAAAAAAGGCATAAATGGGAACTATAGAAAATTGACTGCCAATGAGAGGGGAGGGGGTGGGGGGTTAAACATATGAGACTCTTAGAGAGCCATATGGCAGCCAATGAACATGTGAATCAGAACGATACCAATGGCTGATAAACTCACGAACTTTTTTTTTCGTTTTTTTTTTTTTTGTTTGTTTTACTTTGTTTTTATTCCTGTCTTAAATCATGTATCTTATTGTCTATTTTCTCTTACGTACACGAGTGAGAGTATATTTATAATGTATTGCTTTAGTAATGCCCTCTTAGGGCCAAGGAAAAACTGAAGCGTATGAATGAAGAGGAGAGGGAGGCAAGGAGAGCTGAATTGACTCCCAAATGTACACAGGTGGTCGAGCAAGATACGGAAATTTATACGTATTCTTGATGTAAAACTTGTTCGGCTCTATTTCCGATTTGCTGGTCAGTCATTTCATCAACACGTGGTACAAAGCGATCAATTTACAAAAACATACCCACTGATCAATAATTAATAATACCATTTGGCCTCTCTGCACAGAATACCTCATTATCAAACTTATCGTGGCCGGAAGCATTTTTCAGGCGCCAAAAGCCATTATCGATTGTTTTTTGCACGAGGGACGACATTCTGGGATTTACTTCGAATCTTTGGAAGAGACATGAAGACAATGTATCTTTGGTACCAGCTTTTAGTCGTTCTATCAGGTAAGTATCTGCTTTAAAGAATTACTAAAAGGTAAACAGATCGAGAAAGGGGCGAAAAATTGGTAATTTTTGAATGAACGTTCGCCTTCCATTCAAGCAAAGTCCCATCACGTTTTTACCATCCTTGGATAGAAAAAGCATAAAAATTTTGCAAGAGAGGAGAATTCCAACCGATTGAATTTTGCAAGAAAGAAAGATTCTTACGACGAGTAACTGAAACTTAATTTCCGATGCTGAAAAATTTACGTATGCGAAAAATTTCTTTTATTGGCAGTCATCACAACAATATTTTATTAATTAAGGAAATAGTGATAAACCAAAGGCAACAATTCTGAATAAATAATTAAAAATTGAACTCTCACAGTTTCGATTGAAATTTTTTTTAGCTTTGCTTTTGTTATAATTGTTAAAATTAACGGTGATTCTGCGCTGAAAAGACTGAATATATGCAACACTTTTTCAATGACAAAAGCAAGAGAGATGACAGCAAATTGTGACGCAGGAACTGTAATAGCTTGGGAGACCAAATAATGAGTTTTCTCGTCTCGTCTTAAATTAAAAAATGCCAAGAAGCTTTAATCCAGTCTGAAAGAAACCAATTTGATTCTTTTTCGTCGTTGTTTCCTCCTCCTAAACTCTATAGTGATAAATACATTTGTCTATAAAGATTTGGGCGAGAAAAAACATCTTTCATTAGCATAAAGTAGAAAATAGTTTGGCAGATGGCTCTTTCGGTAAACCCTTGAGGTTTTTTCGTATTCAAATGAATATCAGTTGTAACCCGAGCTATTGTTTTGACTGGCAACCTCAATAAATTGATTTTAAAAGCAGAGGCCTAGTTTATATTTAAAACTGAAATTTTTTTAATCGCGAAATAAAAACTTAGGTTGCCGTTGTAGGAGGAATTCCGCGAGCTTTTTATTATTTTCCTTATCCATTTTTTCTTTAGAAAAAGTGATGTGGGTGGCCTTTCTAATTTAGTGAAACAAATGTCCAATAAGAAAAAACACAAAACCACCACGAAGAAACATGTCACAGAAATAATTGGACGGTTTTATTTATCTTTCTTCTGCATAGCTCTGTCGTGTGTGAGGCTAGTTCTTGCTAATGGTAAGTATTGGAAGGTTTCGTTTTGAAGCATACGCACAGAGATCTCGTTCAGTTCAGTACAGCAAAATTCTCCTGGGGATACAAATTGAACGATTGAACCCAATCTTAAAAGATGTGTACTAATTTAGATCTTCATTTGCATTTGGTAGCACAAATTGCTATATTTAAGGGCTTTGGTGGCCTTATTATAAAATTGACAAAATTTGAATAAAGCCGGCACCTGTTTCCAAGGGACGGCTCTTTTCACTCTTTAACAGTTCGGGCCATAACCATTTCTGGATATCGGTTTCGAGCTTTGTGATTGGGTGAGATCAAAACCAAAACAAAGCAAATTTGGCCGAGAGGTGCTGGAAACAAGAAGAAGCTGATTTTTTTTTTTTTTTTTTTTTGTGGCGGCCATGTTGTAATGCGGTAGTAAGCTGAAAAAAATTCGCCAATAAGGACTGGACGTAAGATACCATTAAAAATATTCGTTTATTTCAAACATTCAACATGCATGTCCCCGACATTCTCGCATTCTGGAAGAGTAAAGCGGATTCTTTCTAGCACAAATTCTTTGTAAGGCTGTGGTCCTTCCACCAAGAGCGTCACAGGAATAAAAGCTCCTCCGCCAGCCTGTTTGTATCTGGAGAACTTCTGTGTAGAGCTTGGCCTCGATGTTACTGTCCGTTGATTTCCCTATTTTGGGTTACAAGAAAACCAATTAAATAAGGTTGAACCAAATAACGCGCACTGAGGTGTGAGATCGCGGAATCGGGACAATTTCATTTCATTTTCACAACCAATTAAATAAGGTTGAACCAAATAACGCGCACTGATAACAATTGGGACGAGTGAGGTGTGAGATCGCGGAATCGGGACAATTTCATTTCTCTCCAGTATAGGTCGAGGAAAGACAATATCTTGCTTCTCTCCGATTTTAAATAGACATTATCAATTTCAGTCCATCAAGCCTTTACGAAAAAGTAACAGTAAAGCAAGAAAACAGTAACTTACCCTTCAATTCCTGGTTATTTTGCCACATCGAAGCAAAGCATGCAGCTGTATGTTTAGAAAGTGCTGAACCGTGCCGATCTGCTGCCCTTTGACATCTCCTAAAGTGTATGTCTTTCTCTGCGATCTGCTGAAAATCTGGACTTCTCGTAGAGCCTCTGGAATGCGTTCCATTTCTCGTGGAAGAAGACAAGCCAGTGCATGCGAGTCATACGTGTTGTCGTCTTCACTTTGAATAACAAGCGGTGTTCCACGTGGAGCTTTGATCTTGAAATTATGATACCTGGAAAATAAACGCCAATAAATACATGAGTGGGATAAAATAAAATCAAGTAGTCACAATCTATATTAAGACGAATACACATGATCGAATTCAATGCAAGAGAATCATACAAGGTATTTTGCGCGCTATTGATCGATTCGCGGGAGAATCTAGGTCTCAGAACACTACAAATTCGGTCCTACAGCTTTTAGTCAGCAATAATATGTCCTTTACAATTACCCTTTGATTTGAACACCCTGTATAGAAAGTTTGTTTAGGTAATCACAGCAAAATGTGAAAGCACGAGCGGTGTTTCTAAACGAGTTTCACAATTACAGACAAGTCCCTTGTGGTTTTAGACGAAAATTTCACTCTCATCAGTTCGTGTAGTTAAACTCCAACCTTTGTTTCCGGAATGCTGTGATAGAGACACTTCGGCAAGGCTTTCCACCAATGTGATTTCTTTATTTTCATCTTCATGCCGCTCTTATCGCACATTTCCCGGATACGATACCTGAAGATGTGAGAGCTCAGTGAACGAATACCTCTTTGTTTTATGTTTGCCCGAAGGAGAACTTACTCGCTGGATAATCACATTTATGTGTTAGATCCGTGGTTTCCTGAAATTATTTTTTAGTGTGCATTCGCCTTAGCTGAATGAATCTCTCTGATGTCAAGATCGACATTGATTCGAAATTTCATCCAGAGCTCCGATTGAAAAGATCCTTTGTTTGTAGCACTGACCCAGGTCCGTGGCAGATTTGTGCCACAAAGACGACAAAGTGTCTCGAGATACTGAATGTGTTCATCCATGCTGTTGGCTTGATCTGAAATTCACAATGTAGGCTTATAAAGGTCCGATAAATAATTGTCCTTTTACTTTAAATTGGCCGGCCACAACGTATGGTTAAAATTTATGGTTTACACGATACTCCGATGGATCTGAACAAAGGAATCCGTCTGGTAGTTTGCACACTAACAGACTTTCAACATTTGTGCACTCGAGCAAAAACCTCGTGCACTCGATTGGAATTTTGACAAATTGGAAGCAAATTTATTCTAGTTTTTTAAAAGATATTTTTTAGGAATCAAAAAAAATGTTGCATACCTGAAAACCTCAACTAAATAGAGGTTATTTCTCGATCGAGCCCTTCGCAACATGGACCTCCACCCGACTTTTCATCTGAATTTTTCCTTCACGTCATCGCGATCACCATCAGTTCTTTGCTTGTTGTGTGTAAATGCTTGTCTTCTGTAATTTTGCAAGGTTTCATGGGATATGGGTAGGGAACCAAGTCACTAGGGCTCGAATAAAGTAATGAGTGAGTTTCCTCGATGTCCCACTACGACATCCATGTTGGTGACGTCATCAAGTATCCAGAAATGGTTATGGCCCGGACTGTTTAAACATGTTTAGCAAAAGAACTAACTACAATTTATGGACTACTAGTTGGAAGGACGGGCGGACTGTTGCAACAGACTAATAGCAATCCACTCGGAAGGCTTTCTTTCCAGGAGCCATTTTTTTAAAAAAAGTAATTTCATGCTCTCTTTAATTTCATTGAGGCGGAAGAGGACTCGGCCAATTTTTTTTCATTTCGTGAATTCATGTAAAGCATTAAAGTAAACATGAATATCTAAAGTTTAAATGTGTCACTAATTTCATGGGAAAGTCCTCTCAGGATGGTGAAAAACCTTTTCAGTGAGGTTAGCCTTCCATAGTAGGATGACGGTTTATTAAAGTCTGTCTAAAATTGCACTGAACCTCTAACCGCATTAATTGTTTTGAAGGATGGCTTCTTTATTTTCATTTTGATAGAAACTCAGCTTCGTATGATATCCCCTTCGGTCACTGTGTATGACGCAGTGAAATAGTCCTTTGCTCCATGTCTGTCCTTGGGAATAACCCATTTTGGTATTTTTTCAACAAGGGAAAAAAGAGTCCCGAGTGTTATTTGCCAATTTAATGTAGACATATCTTGTCACCGCTAATTAACATCTACAGTCCATCGTATTAAAATAACTGTGGCCATCTGGCATGAATTGGGGTAATAATAATATTTATAGTAATACGTAAAAGCACGCGAAGTTGAATTTACATTTTACATGAAAAATAAATATGTTTCTCGTCTTGTCACAAATGTGGAGCAACTCAAGTCCTCATGAGGAATCGAACTTCAGACGATCGGTGGGAAGACATTAGATGTTACTACTGCGAAAGTCGAGTCTCTTTTAAGGAGTGCGACGAGAGCATGAAACTCGTGCAATGTGATGGAAAGTTTGGGTTTGACAGATGCATTAAGACATACATCAAGGCTTCCAAGTATACACAAGAAACTTACCAGCGGGGTTGTCTTAGTGCAAGTGCATGCGAGGCTCCTTCATGCAAGGCTCGTGGCAATGATACCTGTGAGGTATATTGCTGTGAGGAAGATTATTGTAACAAATCTACCACTCGGATGGTCAGCGGTACCATGCTAGTTATATTTTCAATGCTTAATGTTCTGATGGAGCAAATGTCTTAAGAAAACATGTGACTTTTGTACAATTATGTCCTTTATTGAGGGTTTATATTTGTTTCTTAGGATAACTCTACGTATATGTTGCACGGCTGTGCGAATCTGTGCGGTTACATGAACACAGCGGTCAAACGTCGGGCATGCGCAAGGGGATCAATTGTGACCGGCTGCACGCCAATTTCCCGCGCAAAATTTCAAAGGAAAACATGAGGAAAAACATCTTGACTCACTTTTTTGTGTAGTTGTTTGTAACTGGTTTGAGACGACTTGGTTCTAACAGCCTGAAAGTAAGGCCCCTAGCTAGTCATTACAACTTTCGCACACGCGCAAACGTTTGACAACTGTGTTGGTGGTTATATGCCGCTCAGAGCGCTTTTATTTAGCCCCTGTAATCCCGGGAGGGATAGAACCGGCTCTTTTGCTAGTTTTTGATCCTCAAGTGTTTTTAGTCAGTGCATCACAGATCTCTGTCGTTAGTAAAACATGTTTCCGCAATGGAGGACTCTGTTGGATTCTGCTCAATCAGTGACATTGTTCGCTCGAATTCTACAAAGCGACTGGCATTGCTTGCTACCTTCAGAAAACACCACACGAGAACAACAAAAAGAAAAAAACTTGTGCAGCCGATTCCAACGGCCATACTTTTCCAATGATCTGCAAAATTAAAATAGAATTCTTAGCAGAAAAATAATCTATCCTAGTCATTAAATTGCACCCTACCCCTGTCTTCCCTCGCACAGCTCTTCTTTGTTTTTTACTTGCCTTACTGTTAGCCTTATATGAATGTGGAACAAAAGAACTTCGTGTGGTAAATTTACTTAATTAATCAAATCCATCAGCAGCATTGCGGGCACACAAGCACATACACGCGTGCTTATCCCCGGAAATCTAACAATGATGTCTTAAGATATCACTCAGTTTTGCGGAAAGTGAAAAATCAGATTGGATGGTTTGAGGGAATTATGAAAGACGGAATGAAAACTCTTCACATTGAATTTGCGGTGTCCGAATTTTCCCGTCGAGGTAGGGGCACCTTTATTAGCCTCGTCTTGCTCACAAGTTCAAAGAAGGGGATTGACGTCCAAACTGACACCAGTTTCTTATTTTAAAGGTATTAAGTTAAAAAACATATTTCAAAAACGTTTTGTCATAATTTCATTTATGATACTGTTCCCAGGGGAGGGTTGGAAATAGAATTTCCGCACCCTTCCCCCCAAAAAAAATCTCATAGAGGCAATCCTCAAAAATTTCCACAATACCCCAAAAGGACCTGTCATTATTTATCACCTAGGGAGGGGGGGAAGGGTTGGAGATGCGTCACGAGAAAATTGACCCGATCCCTCCTCATGGCCTTGTGATAATCTCATGAGCCCCCCTGCCCTCAAACCTTTGTTGGCAGTTAATTGGCATTCAATTTTCTATAGCCCCCAGTTATACTCTGTTTACAACAACTGATCCTCCCCCCCTTCCCTTGAAAACCATGTGATCCTCAGCTCAAAATCCTCCAACTCTCCCCCCCCTCCCTTCCCCAGGTGATAAATATAGACTGTCTCTAGGTAGGTGCACTTGGTCTCAGGTCAAGCACCGCGTTATATAGTTTTCTTATATTTTAATGCTGATGATTGCAAAGTGGATTAATCCTTACCAGAATTCAAAGGCTCAGTGAAGAATCCTATCTGTGGTTTATTGGTGCATTGTACTTCTTTGTACAAGAGCTGGAAACCATTCATTTGTAAGTCTCTGGTAGAGTTGTATTCAAAAGTTATCCATAGATTATTTCCTATGGAGTAGATTTCTGGCGGAGGCTTCTCATCTCCACAAAACCTTCCAATTGATGGACTAGAAGAGCTAGGGCCGTCTCTGATCTCCACAAATGGTCCCAAACAATTCAGGAAGGCAAATGATTTTAGTGAGATTTGAACTTTACATCTTTCACGAGCGGAAATTATCCATATGCATTTTTTCTCAGAGCCACAAACAGCTGGACTTTTTGAACTAGCTATGAGTTGGGATGATCCATTTGCCTGCAGAATGAAAGGTTCCTCTGCAGAAACCAAAATTAGAAGAGGAGATATGAGTTAAAGAGATCATATACAAACGTGTAAACAACAAGTATAGTTTGCTTGTGTCTTACTCATAAGAATATGCTCCCGCAGATAACAAGTGGATTTTTCTGTGTTTCTTTACAGTTAGATATACCAAAAAGTTAGAAGAATCGAACAGTGCACATTAGCCGTTCGCGTACGTGTCACCGATGTTTTTTACCGAAAAAGAAAAGACGTTTTCAAGTTGCGAGGGCCCGAATGATGGTGATTTTGTTACAGTTTTACTTATAACTAGAAAAGGATGTTTTTCGTCTCGTCTCGAGCGTGAGGCAAAGAAAAAATTCTTAGTCTTCATCGGATTCCGCGCTCTGATGCTTTATGACTGAGCCACAGAAGCTTTGTGGTAAGCCAAGTTTTTTGCGCTGCTACGGTGTGCGATTTTAGGAGTGTCATATACGTAACTTTAATAAGAAAGGAGTGCGGAATCTGGAGATCGGAAGTTCGATTCCTCATGAGGACTCACTGACACTTTTTTTTTTGCACCGTCTCACTCTTGTGACAAGACGAAAAAAGCATTAAATTACTACACTCCGAAAATGACTGTCTTTGATCATCAAGCAAGCACTTCTAAAACTCAGAAAAGTGGGTTTTACGAGGCCTTGTGGGCCAATTTTGGCCAAATCATCTCTAATTCAGGGCTCATCAAAGCGAGGTCGCACTCAAATTTGCCGCTTTATCGGTTACGAATAGTAAATGATGTCCACGCATTTTTCTGATGATTACATCTTCCAGATAATTGTTATACATTTAAACATGCTGCGCTAAAAATGCCTACATCTTAGGCTTACACAACATTGTTAGATTGTGGACCGTGTGAACCAGTGATCACAAACTCACTTTTTCGTAATTTCAAGTAAGAAAAGCTGGCAGAGAATCCTTGATATTCCATCGCCACATCTGATCTAAATTTCACCCACATGTGTCTTCCTTCTGAATAAAGATTTACTCTCTCTTCGTCACAAAACCTGCCAATAAGTTGACTATTAGCCGTGGCACCGTCCCTGACTTCAACGTAATCACAACGGCACAAAGAACAGTCCTCTAGCTCCATTGTTGATATTGCAAATTTGACTTTGCCACCTCTTGGCGCAGTTATCACCCAAATGCAAACTGTGTCTGCTTGATACGAAGATTTTGGAAATCCTGGACTCTTCAATATTCCTTGATATGTGGTGAGGTTTCCATCATTTGGACATTTAGCTAAAAAGAGAAAATTGTATTAACTAGAGAGTAATGTAAAAGTTTACTATACAAAACCTAGAAATGGTAACTTGCTAAAATGGGTTTTTTTCAACATAGTAAGCGGACTAAGAGGTCAGATAACAAGCGATGCACTGTGGAAGTAAGGTGAGGTATTTTTATTGAGAAATTGATTGTGTTTTTTTATTCTTAAGAGCAGTCGTAAATATTCCATTCAAACTCTTATAAATTCGCCATGACTCATTTCGCAAGATGATAATCTCACAACTGGAGCCTGGGCCGCCTGTGCTGAAATAGGCCACAATATAACATTCTTTTTTGAATGGAACATTGCCAATTTCCGCAATTGTGTGGAAAGAAGTAATTGGGGAGAACTATAAAACAGATGACACACAAAATGCAAACATAAATCGAGTACCATCAACGTGGTTTTGAAATTGCTGAAGTAGAGGGAAACAAGAACAGAGAGGAAAAAAGTTATTGAAATCTCGGCTGCGCTTATCATAGTCTACAACAGTTCAAAACAGTAATCGAGTACCATTAACCCCGTCTATAATTGCTAACGAAAAAGGAGACTCCTCCGTTGCCCCCCTGACATTGCTTTTTGGTAACCTTAAGCCTGACGCGTAAGAATTAGCCAGAAGAATTGATAATTATTCATTTATTTGCGATCTTCAGCTTTAAAGCTGGTTTAACTGGGGGCCTGTATAAACAATAACAATGCCAAACCACAAATCTGGAAGCTCTGTTCCCTACACTTTGCAACGACAGAAGCTGCAGTCAGACCGAATAATGGTTGCTAGAACGCTGCTACTCGCTCACCTGCCTTGTGTCTTTGTGACCTTATATCAGCCATCAAACCTGCATACAAAAAGAGAATTTCAAATATCTTTCAAACATCCTGATCATAACCCGTTGGCTTGCTTTTCCAAGGACACGAGGAGGAATTCACAGATCTATAGAACCCGAGAAGCCCACATACATTTCACAGCTACAAAAGAGGATCAGAGAAACCCACTTTTGAAAATTCCCTGAAATATTCGACTGCAACGAAGCCTCCTACATTGGGTACATCAATCGTCTGCGCGCACTCGATAAACCTGTCGTTCATGTACTCTCGTTACTGGGACTGTAAGACCCCAGGCCTGTAGGAGCTAATCATCTTTTTCCTTCCGTTTTCAGATTAATTGGAAGAACAAATGGTTAATTTCAAACCAGAGACAGATGAATACCTGGCCAACACCACTAGTTTTTTCAGTACCTATACAAAGATGAGCAAAATCTGTCCTCTTAGCAAAGCTAGCTTTTTTAGTGACTTTTTGGAAAAGTTTAAATTCTCAAATTCATCATGTAATAAAAATTTAAGTTAGACTTCATAACCTCTATCTGTTTAGTTTTCTGGAAACGATTTTTCTCAGTGGGGGAGTGAAAAAAATTGATTGTATGTATTATGATATTGGAATTAAATCAATGGTGCATTAGATAACGCGTAAATGCTTGAAATATTTTCCAAAGTTTCAACCTTACATAATGAACGTTCACAATATTTGGATATTCTTTCTAAGCAAACACTAAGTGGTTTAGACGGCACGATATTTTATTGGACTGGTAGTTGTGTATAATTAAGTGAGGTTAAAAACGCACGTGAAACGATGCACGACACAAACTTTTGCCTCGATGACAACAGCGAGATAATAATAGTTGATGATTAATGACTAAGATTAATTAATTTGGATGATAAACAGTAGATTCTTAGAATTAGGCATAGTCCACACAAATTTGAATACAAATAAAGTCTATGTGAAAGGAAATGTTTTGGAAAGCAAGTGGTTAAGCTCTCTTTAATCGAATCAGAGAGATGTTCGAGGAGAGAAACATCCTAAAGACAGGTAAAAAATATTAGGAAATGGTTCATTCACCGCTAATCGTGTGGCACGCTTGTGCTGAGTTATATTGTAGATTTGTCGTCGATCCAATCTAACAGCGTACAGGAAAAGTAAGGTTACAGAAGTCTACAGTTAGATTAGAACTTTCCCTAAAATGTCTACTCAATTTTTCTGAAGTTCTATTGTGCAAGCAAACGGCTACAGTTAGTTGTGATCTCACGGTATAGCAAAATATCAGAAAACTTCAAACAAGACGTTATTGAACGATCAACAGGAAAAACGAAATCTAATTGTGCTCACTTTTCTGCCATTTCCTGAGTCAACGCTGTATAAAATTTTAAATAAAAAACTTGACTATTGTAAATTGAAATATTCTCATTTTGATGCCAAATGACTGAAAGCAGACGTCTTAGAATTGCAATTTTTACCGTTTGACGTCAACCTCAACCTCTCCATTGCGGTTTTCATTTCTTTCGGAAAATTGAATTGATCATGATTAGTCTTGATTACTCTAAATTTCTCAAGTTTATTGTTTGATAACCGTTTCAGTAATTCCGCATCCGTATTCCTTGATGGTCGATTTTAACCTTCGAAGTACTATTCTTTCTGAGCTACTGAAACTACCTCTTCTTCTTTCCGATGATCATTTTTTGCGTCGTAAACACCACATCAAATATTACTTGATGACGTAGTTCAGTTTAAACTTACCGAGCCAGACGAGGAACAGAGAAGGAGTCCAGCCACAGAACCATTGCATAATGTCTGATTAGAAGATCTTCCACAAAAATGTACAACAGAAACACAGGTTTCGTGTTTAGTAATGAGAATGTTTAAGTTCCTAGATACACGCAATGTTACTTTTACGACCAAGTTACCGCAGTCCCATTATCCTGTCGGCGAATTATCCATTAAACCATTAAATTGAAGAGTATTTCCGGCTTTAACTGGTCTTAAGTAGAGCGTAATCTCAAAAACATTTGTTAATCTCCTCTCCGATGTTATTTACGTTTTTACATCGTTGTTTCATGTGGTTTCATTAAAGAAATTTCATGCGTGCGCACGGCCGCGCATACTAATTCTTCCTTCGAATCGATTCAGGTTTGGATCAAAATATTGTTGTTTCTTTTCTTCCTTTGTCAGAACCGCTTCGTACAATATCACTTCTGATTTTGATCAAGCAAAAATTGTACCTCATGACAATTAGTTCACAAATTTCGTTCCGAATGCGGTTTGGGAACAGAATGAACAAAATGGGAAAAACTAATGTAGTAGTTAGTTAGTAGTAGTAGTTAGTAATACGGCTCAAAATGATTTTCTTTATCTTAAACACCAATTCTTTTATGAATAAATGTAAACACACTTTCCTAATTACTTCCTTGCTATCAGGAAAAACGTCTAATTTTTTTTTTTAAAACATGATGTGATTATATCAATGGAACATAACAGTACCCAGCAATACTGGGAACATAACGGCACCCAGCAAAACTAGGCTCTGAGAAACACTCTTAATTTTTAAGCTACATGCCCAATTAACCCAAAACGAGTTCGGTGACAGTGGTTAAGCGCGGTCTGTACGCTTATCGACAAATATATTCGTCGTCACAGGAGTCCAAATGTTGTATACTCACGAGGCACGGAGTCCGTTGTCGATAAGAGTGCAGACCACGCCAAATCACTGTGGGTTTTTTTTAACCACAATGGAGGCACAGAGTCCGTCGTTGATAAAAGTAAAGATCACGCTAAATCACTGTGGCTTTTTTTAACCACAATGGAGGCACAGAGTCCGATGTCAATAAGAATACAGACCACGCTAAATCACTGTGGTTTTCTTAACCACGATGTCGACGTCAAATAAAACTATTCTTTCAGTGCGTGCGTGACCTTTGCCTGTTACGTTGACTCGAGCAGCATTGTCTGAACTCGTATCGACATTACCGGCAATCGTGGTAAAAAAGAATATCACGAGATCGTGGCATAGTCATATCTGCCGAGAAGAGGACCTTACTGTTGTGGATTATGACGGGATGATAACACATTGCAAACTTGTCACTATGGCAATGGATGTCTTCGATAGCATCGAGCCGCCTTGGAAGTTCTGTGAGATGAAAATGGTGATAAGAAAAAAACGGCAAAAAAAAAAAATTAATGATACTTAATAGAGTTTTATGAAAGCCATACGTATATGGCGTACTTGCTTTATCAATGTAAGGGCAAGGGACAGTTCCCGTTTCTATATTAAAGTCGTTAAAGTATCGAGGGTCGAACGTGCACATGTAACCACGCCTTCTTACGTCGCATCCAGACTTTTCCTGCCCTGGCGTAGAATAAATAACTGGGTTTATCCTGAATTCCAAATTTTCACGTTTCTGTAAATTTTTTGCGAATTCATTAATTCAAAAAAAGGAAGATTAAAGTAAATTATTAGAAAAAGAAACTGAAAAGATGTTTCTGGCAGGGCTCGAACCTGCGACCTTCCGCGTGTTAGGCGGACGTGATAACCACTACACTACAGAAACTTACACAATATTTGAAAATTTATTTACATATTTAAAGATAAGTGTACAGATAAATTGCTGAATACCTTTATGAAATCGTTTCGACCAACATGCCAGACTTGTACTGTGATTTTTTCCAAACCTCGATTCCGGCTTTGCCCATAAAAGATCGTGGTAAATGAATACTTGGCTATAATGCAGTAAATTCAGTTCTCTCTGTCTCAAAAAGTTGCCTGTCCTGAACCGTTTACTATAAGCTGCCTCAAAATCCATTATAAACGACTCTATTTTATGTTGGAAGAAAGGGAGTTGAAGAATTAAGAATTTCTTGTAAATGTTTCAGTAATTATTTGCCTTATTTTTGCCCCATTCTTGACTCAAATTTTAACGAAATTCACTTTCAAGATGGCCTGCACATTTGACATTTGGCAAGTGTCGCTTTTCTCCCAAACTCTTGCTGTGCATGTCTAAGCCACGTTAACGAAAAACATCTGGGCCTAGTAAGAGATAGTACGCTATCCAAAGTATAAATAGCTATCCAGCGGATAATTGTTATTGATACGTATTGTACTATCCATCGGATAGAGATTTATCCAACGGATAACGTTATCCACCCTTCGAAACACCGGAGCCGCTTTTTCTTTATGATTTCACAGCAGTGCAATTACATTGCTTTGTATTTGAATCATCAGTACTTTAAAGTGCACTACTTTTTAAAATTAATTTTTTGTGATAACTTTGCTATTAAAGGTGCCCAGCGTTTTAGGATATTTCCTCACAGTTCATTCGTAAAAATAAAGTACATAGCGTTAAGACTTGTTAAGAGAGAAAACACTAAGATCGCTGCGCCAAGCTCAAGCCTTACAAAGATCGCCTCTGCAGCAATGTAAGGTGCATTTAATTAATACCAAACCATTACAAGTTTCCTGATTGGAACATTTATAACTGGTGTCACAGCCTCTGGCAAAAACTTCACCGTTGCCTCTAGCATACAACTTTGCACAGTTGTCGAGGTTGGGCGCGCAAGTCCCCTTTGTGAGATTTTTTGCGCAGTTTTCCCATGAGACTTGACTTGAACATAAGTAACATTCCAAAGCACAACCCGACATGTTTGAGCATGTTGGACAAGAGAGAGGTGAGAAGGCTGGGAAGTTTATTGTTATCACTCGGATCGAAATAGTGGCTGTTAAAGGAAGCAAATGAATTACAAAAATAAATGATTACAAGTAAGGAGCAAGAAAATAAGGAAGGCGAACGGAAATTACAGGAACCCTGGTTCCAAACCTAACTAGACCCTGTGAGCAGGGTAACTGGGATACCTGGATGGTACTGGATCCTTGGAATCAAGTGTAGTGATACTATGGGTGTCGGACTAGTATACTGAAATAGTGAGCTCAAGTCTGGCTAAGGCATACACCTATTTCAAAACACAGGCATGCTCTGCATGCAAGAGTTATTTTTTGTAGGGTGGGTGGATTACTTGAAACGTTGTAAGTGGTCTACATTCTTACAAAAGGAAAGAAGAGTATTAACGCGGAAAAGAACGAAAATGTCGAATTACCTCACACACAGGTATTTTGTGGTAAATTATGTGTGTTGCGCGAATAAATGTCACCAAAAATAAACTGTATTGGTGCCACGGATACCTGTTACTACAAAATGCAGACAGCAGACTGCAGACCGGGTACAAAATATAGACTGCAGACTGCAGAGTGGGTGCAAAATGCATACGGAGAATCTGAAGAGTTTTTACGTCTGGTATATAATAACATGTCATCTTGCAGCTTACCGAGTGTCACGCAATCGCTTTTCCGCGATCAGCCTTCACCATTATTTGCACTATTGTGGAAAATTCCTGGCCCATTTCTTGATGAAAATAGATCGTAATATAATTTCAAGCCTTTAATATAGTCTTCTTACTTTGCGCGCGAGTTGGTTGGTGTGATGTCTGTACAGATTTTACCAACGTAATAAAAGTAGATGACGTAAATAACAGTAATGGTAAAGCAAGCTTAAAACGGCAGAAATTGCCAGAAACTACAACGGATACACAGGGTATGAGTAATTTTTATTGATTTTATGAGAAAAATGTTTATATTTCGAAATATTTATCGTTGTAAATCGACCATATTTCGTTCCCTGTACACTGTTATCGTAGCTACGTTCCCTGGCATCAAGTGAATCCAACATGCCGTCTTTCTTCACTATCAGTTTGCATCCGTTAGAGTTTTGTTCTTTAGTCTCACGGTAAGAGTGTTGTTCAACAGATTGCATAGAGTATATGCAGTTTGGTTTCAGATTTCAGATTTCAGATTTTGCTTTTTACAACAAGTGTACGTTTTTCAACTAAGACATTGGCATACTTGGCATACAAGGCATTCAAGGCTTTCATGGCTTTCAAGCGTTGGCGACTCAATCCGTTCGAAAATTACCGCTCAATAACATCTTTTAGCGTGGATTGGCCGCGAACAGTACGACTTGTGTATGCGTCTGTAAGTATTTTGAGCGTTTGCGCCGTGACACTACGGGTGATCGTAATCTAAATACGTTGAAATATAAAACGACTGACAAAAGAGTTTTATACGTCAAATACGTATACTTTTTATACGTCCCGTGGTTCGTCATGTGACCCGGCCCTGTCTGTGCATGACAACGTCAATCATCATCAAGATAACACGCGTGATCAGCATATGAACACTTCATTGGATCACAGTTGGTTGTCATGGTGTTGAGAGCCCAATGACCACTGGGTACTATTGCGCAATTTTTCCATTTTGTGGCGGAGGAAAAAAAAAAAAAAAAAAAAAAAAAGACGACAACTAGACCCTGTGAGCAGGGTAACTGGGATACCTGAATAGTACTGGATCTTTGGAATCAAGTGTAGTGATACTATGGGTGTCGGACTAGCATACGCGGGAAAGAATGAAAATGTCGAGTTACCTCACACACAGGTATTTTGTGGTAGATTATGTGTGTTGAGCGAATAAATGTAACCAAAAATAAACTATATTGGTGCCACGGATACCTGTTAGTACAAAATATAGACAGCAGACTTCGGGCCGGATACAAAATATAGACTGCAGAGTCGGTACAAAATGTAGACTGAGAATCTGAAGAGTTTTTACGTCTGGTATATAATAACATGTCATCTTACAGCTTACCGAGCGTCACGCAATCGCTTTTCCGCGATCAGCCTTCACGATTATTTGCACTATTGTGGAAAATTCCTGGCCCATTTCTTGATGAAAATCGATCATAATATAATTTCAAGCCTTCAACATAGTTGGTTGGTGTGATGTCTGTACAGATTTTACCAATGTAATAAAAATAGATGACGTGAATAATAGTGATGGTAAAGCAAGCTTAAAACGGCAACAATCGCCAGAAACTACAACGGATACACAGGGTATGAGTAAGTTTTATTGATTTTACGAGAAAAATCTTCATATTTCGAAATATTTATCGTTGTAAATCGACCATATTTCGTTCCCTATACTATTCCTAATAACGTGTTCAAATTTTCAACGGTTCCTAGCATAACTTACTCTGAGTCACACAACGCGTAACGCGTTCGTGAATTAATCGTTGGCTCTTTCTCGAG